TGGGCGAGAGGGGGGGTGGGGTGGGTGGGGGGAGAAACTGTCTAGTTCTATGATGTTTAATATGGAATGTTCAAAGACAAAAAAACACAGTTACATTTTTACACTTGAGTGACCACAAATCGGAATTAGAGAACATCATTTTGAAGAGGCCTGATTCTCATTCAACCTCACTGTTTCACAGAGGAAGAAATTCAGCCTCGGAGAAGGTAAGTGACTTGCCCAGGTCATGCAGCTGCTGAGGAGACACCAAATCCAGAGCATCCACTTCTCACCCCAGGGTTCTAGTGAAGGTGATTGATTATCATCATATACATAAAATAATAACTATAATAAAACCTCACTTTTGCTGAGCACTTAGTATGTTTCAACACATTGCATGCGTTAGCTCATTTAATCTTCCCAACATGCCCCAAGTGGGGTGCCCCCACTGACTCCACTTTACCTGAGGAGCCTGAGGTATGAGGTTTGGTAGCACCCCAAAGATCACCCACCACCACCAATGAAAGGCTGAGCCAGGACAGGCGGTTGTGGCAGTAAACTCCACTGAACCCCTATGTAACCCTTTAACTGCTTGTGGTGAAGCAATGGTTATTAGCAAAAGGTAGAAGTTCCCAGAAAGAACTTTGTCGTCAAGCAACTTTCTGAGAATTTCCGGGAGGTGGGGTGGGGAAGGAGATACTTAGAAAGGAAACTATTTTATATTTCTGAACATCTGCCAAGTCACTGTTGGAATTTTATTTTCGCCGGGATGGTAGCCTTCTACACTGTACCATATACCGGTCAGCTGAGCAAACGTTGACCACTAAATTCAAACTTGGAAGAAGAAAAAAAAAAACAGAGACTGGGAACATCTACGAGGCTTTTGGAATTAAAAATAATCCGCGGCAGCAGACTGTAGCCCAAGCTCTCTGAAGCCCCCAGGCCCTCCAGGGCATTGCCGCCCTCTCTGCCACCTGGCTTCAGTCACCCTTGTGAGTCTAAGGGGCCCCGTGGCCGCGATCTGCCCTCATCTGGGCTGAGAGATCCCCTCCGCCATGAATCCCAGACCGCAAGCACGGGGGTCACCAGCGGCATTAAGACCTTCAGCGCAATGGCATCACAGACGTGTTGGCAGACCTTGGATCTCATGGGTAGGGGGACACACCCCCAGCCCTAGCCCGCCCTGGAAATTCTCCAACTCCTAGCTCCCAGAGAACCGAAGACTCGGGAACTGGGGACCAGAGCAGCCCGAGGTCTGCAGGGGTCTGCAGCAACCTGGGGACTGGGAGTGGGGAGAGAAGTAGAAATGGGTTTCCCCACCAGGCATGGCGAGTCCTCAGCCGTTGGTACAAGTACTCTTTTTCATAATCAGCAAAGCCTCGGCTGTTTAGCGGGCAGCGAGGGATTCTGCACAGCCTGGAGTTTGAACGCTCAAAATTTGGTCATGCAACATCCCCACTTGTCAACACCTCGCGCCTCCTTGTTCTAAAGATTACGTTCACTACGAGTCCGAAGTGGCCAAACTGGGAAGGAGAGTGGCCTCAGCGTCATCCTCCATGGTTCCTCTGCCCCTCTCACCTGTTGCTGAGATCCCACCCCCGCCTCCGGCCGCGCTGCCTCGCACCACCAGTGCTCAGGCGTCCGGCGGTGCCAAGTCGTGGACTAGCCCAGCACCTGGCTCCGCCCCTCTCCCCTTGGGTCTCTCCGCGTGCGGTTGTGGGGAGCTTTCCTGGGATTGAACCACTGACAATCCAGGCGCGTGTGCGCCTATGGGTAGCAGAGGCGGGATTCCCCCAGCGTTGTGCGCCCCAAAACTGACACTGGGAAGGAGGGAACTGCGTTATGCTGGGATCTCAGCACGCCTTCCTGCAGTCTCCTCTGCAGTAAAATGGGCCACACTGAGGGCTTGCGCAATTCTGTATCCGCGACCACCCGCTTCTCCTCCCCCTCTTTGTAACCATAGCCACCATCCTCAGCCTTTAGCTTTTCGTCCAGTTTGGTGCTTATATAAAACCCCCACAGACCTGCGGAGAAAACCTGGGGGCATCTGGAAAGGAGGTTCAGCGCCCGCTTCTCCAGCGCGCGCTCCTGCAAAGCCGAGCTGCGGCGCTTTAGAGCTTGGGAAAGTGAGTGTCGCCTGAGTCCAGACACAGTGAGGCATTTTTTGGTAGAAACCACAGAAACTCGTTTAAAGGGGGCTGGAGGGGCCAGGGAAGGAATGAGAAGTGCGAAAAATGAGACTTGAAAAGAAAGCTGGGGTCTGTGGAAGGAAGAGCTGGGGAAACCCCGAGGCCTGAGCTAGCCATGTGGTGGCGCGGGGGCTATAGATCATCCTCTTACGCTTCCGCACTAGGAGGGGGCGCACGTCAAAAAGGGACTGGGTAACTAGTTCTTTCCTCCTCCGCACGCTTTCAGACCCTGGTGGAGCAGAGCGCTGGGAGTGCGCCCCTAAGCGCCAGCACCGCGCTGGCGAAGGGAGAGCGAGGAAGAAAAACCCAGACGGTTTGACAGCACCTGTCGGACCTGAGCACGCCAGAGCTGCAGGCTCTGACGCCCCTCCCCCAGGCTCCACCACCTCCCCGGACCCTCTACGTACACCCCGCGACCGCGATGGGGCATGATTAAAGGTCGTTGCAGCCAGACGGCGCACACCCTGGAGAATGCTCGAACGCGCTCCCTCCCCGAGTGCTTAGAGCCGCAGGGGGTAGTGGGGTCCGCGGAGGAGCGGATGCGTGAGCAAGGAGAGCCGCAGAGAGTGGGTGGGTTACAGCGGGGACCCGGGTGCGCTCCTGCTCACCTCGCTCGCTGGCCTGGATGTAGCGTACGATTTCGTCCAGGTCCAAGTCTTTGGTCTCATAGAAACTGTAGGGGGACGTGTAAAAACCCTCCTCCTGGAAGACCTCGTGGACCCCTTCGATGGTGAAGTAGCAGTTCCGCTCCAGCTTGTCGTCGCTGTAAAGCAGCACCGCGCGGCTCCACTGGTGGTGGCGGAACAGGGCGAGCATCATCTCGCCCATCTTGGCATACGCGGGAGACACGCGCGTGAGGTGCGTGTACTCCGTGTCTTTGTGCTGGAAGCCAGTGGCCAGAGCGCCGGCCGACAGCATGGGCAAGTTCCAGTGCGACGCAAGCCGGGCCACCGGCGCCGCCGCGTACTCGCACACCGGCCCCAGGATGAGGTCCGGCTTGGTGCCCCGCGCCGCTGCCACGCGGTCCACCAGGCTGAAGAGTGCGCGGTTGCCGCAATCTGAGTCTTCATAGGCCACCTGAAAGCGAGTGCCGGGCAGCAGGAGACGCGGCCCGGTCCCGTTGCCCTCCACGCTGCGGAGCGCGTATTCGATGGCCGGCCGCACCCGAGCCAGGGAGAACAGGTACGAGTCGTCCTGGGGCAACAGCACCAGCACCTCGATCTTCTGCGGCGGCAGCGTCTCTCTCTCCCGGCGCCCGCCACCCAGGCCCTCGACCCCGCCGCCACCGCCACCCGCGCTGCCGGCCAGCGACGCCCAGCCGAGCAAGACGCACGCGGAGAAAGTGAGCACCAGCCGGGACCGCATCGTGCCGCAGGAAAGCGCCTGCCCTGACTGCCGACTCGCCCTCTGCCCCCTACCCAGCCTTCCTCTTTCCTCCCCACTCTCCTCTCCGAGGTCCCTGCGCCCCCTTGGGCGCTCTAAGAAAATAGAATACCCCCTTCGCTAACGCCAAAAGATAAAGAGGAAGAGTCCTTCTTTGCAATGTCACTCTTTATGGCTTCTATTTGGGCGTTGCTAAGGTTGCTTTTGAAGGCGTATTTGCAAAAGAAAAAAAAGTTAGACTTGTCCAAGTGCTTGTAATTGACGGTGCATCTCCCTCGCGTTTGATCTCATTGATTCGCGCCGGTTCCTGGATCCATAACCGGCGTTTAAATAGCGTGGCAGCGGCGGAGCGTGTTACCACACAAGGCGCGCCGAGGCTGGCCTTGTATTTCCAGCGGGTGGGGGAGGTGGGGGTGGGGAGAGTGGCACCCCTTCCCTTCTCACCACTCCGGTATCCCTCAGCCCCACTCCTCGCCATCCCTCAACCTTTTCCTTAAAGCCGCAGTTGCCCACAGCTGCACCCGCCGGAGCCCCCACTGCACCGCACCGCCTCTGGGGGCCCCGCCTCTCCGTGGCCCCGCACGCGGCAGCGCTCTCTCCAGCCTCGGCTTTAAAAAAGGGAGTTGCTTTTGAAAGTAAATAAATGCGCTCAGGCACACACATCGCGCAAAAATAAACAACAGGGTTAGAGGAAGGGATGGTTCTAGAAATTGGTAGTTTCGATGCAAAAATCCATAGGTCTCACTCACTCTCACCTCTTTCTCCGTCCGGCCACTTTCCCGCAGGACGCGCCAAATCCTGGCGGGCACCCGACCTATCCTGTCCTCTGGAGCAAGATAAGGAAACAGGGACCCTGGACCCAGTGCAAGCGGCTGGATAGCGGATCCTGCTAGCCCGGGCTTTAGTCGCACCCCTCCTTCCGCAGCCCAGCGCCAGCACCCTCCCTCTGGGCTGCGCGAGTTCGCCCTGGAGTCGCGGCGTCGCCGGGTTCCCCGTGTCCCCACACACAGACCCTCTGCCAGCGCGCTGCAAGCAGGAAAGCGAAACTTGTTGCTCCGAAAGACAAGGGAACGGTTCGGCTTCTGGAGGTGGCAAAAGCTTGGGAAGCATCTCCAAGGTGTCCTCGGGGCTTTGTTTGCTAAATAAGGTGACTAAATAAAGAGACTTTCTCCCCAAATTGTTACCCCGAGAGTCCCCTGGGTGCAGGCTCATGCTCCACTCCGACCCGAGCGCTTGGAAATCCAACCGCTGCTCTTCTCGGGCGCGCGAGACACTGCTCTGGGTTCTGCAATGCCGAAAAAGGTCCTGCCTTGGAGACCCAGTCCTGCCTCTGGTCACAGCCACAACAGCAGTGTAGACCAGGATGGAAACGGCCGCGGAGAAGTCGGTGGCCGGGGGAGGCTCGCGGGCGTCCGCGGCGCCGCCGGGCAGGTCCGAATGGGACTTGACCCTCTGAATGCGGTGACACACCGAGGTCGTTTGCCATGTGAACGTGCTACATTGGACAGAAGAATTCTGACACTTAAGTCCCGCAAATTAAAATAAATTGAAAATGTTTTAAAATTGTCTTTCATTTAATTGGGCGTCATGTCCACAAACTTCTATTAGGCTTAGACTAACGCCCTCTTTCGGCAGAAACTTGCAGCGGACGGGTACGCCGGGTGCCGCGGTCCCAGGCGCTGCGTGTTTGGTTTTTGTTTTGTTTTGTTTGTTTCGTTTTGTTTTGTTTTAACGCCAGAACCCGAAAGGGCAATCTCTCTTGTTCGTGACCTTGAAAAGGCAAATTGGGGTTTCTGGAGATGTGGCAACTTCAGGCATCAGCGCTCGCCGAGGTTAATACCACCTTCCTTGTCACTCCAGGCACCGACTGCTTAATTATGGGTAACGTTTCGTCCTGTGGGTCATTTTGGTTTCAGCTCCTTCGTGTAGGAGCTTCTAACTCCTGCGAGAACTTTTCATTTACTTAATTAGAGCTGCTAACCCGTAGCGAAAGAGGCATCTGTACAAAATTTAATTCTGCAAACAGGGTAATCCGCACGCACTGGATACTGAGATTTAGAGCTTCACAGCGATTAAATCCTCCCTGAACTCCTGGGAAGTAGAGGAGAGAAGGAGAGAGGGAAGGAGGAAGAGATAGAGAGAAAGAAGGAAGACAGAGAACGGCTGAATCCAAGGATTTTAATGGATTTCAAAACTGGTTGCCAGGAAACGTCAAGGAACCAGGGTTTCCTATTACTGCTCGTTATGCCCTGTGTCAGGAGGACACCAGCCAATGGCGATGTGATTCTGCACACTGTGTAGCGTGGGTTTATTCGGAGAGTCTGGGGTTTCAGTGGCACCGGTGTGAATGCCTCTCCACTCCCAGGCGCTGCCCAGCCCCGGTGAAGGTCACGCGCAGGGCAGTGAGTTTATGTTTGGGTGAGTAGTAGCCTCTCGGTGGCCTTTGGTTCAGAGTTCTCAACTTCCAGAATGTCACTCAAGAGCACCTACAGACCAGGCTGTGGCAGGGAAGAGCCCCACCACCACCCCGAATGGACAGCAGAACCAGAAAAGCCAATGTTACTACTGTTGCTGATGCTCAAAGCATCCCTTAAATTTTTCCAACGAGCAGAAATTAGGATTTTTTAAAAAAAGCTTTTCAAATGAAATTCGGCATGAGAGTATAGGAAGACCCACCAAGTAATATAAGTATACAGATTTTAATGTTATGAGTTTGTTTACTTTCCATCAAATTAGATTTTTCCCAAGCAGCTGTAAGTTTGTGTAAATCTTATGAATGTCATGAAGTTCTCCAATCTTAGGGCTGGAAAAGACTTTAGAAGTCACCCCGCCTGACACCTGGCACCCTCCAGATGAAGAAATGAGGCCCAGAGAATATAAACAACATACTTAAATACCTCTTCATCCCCTGAGAATATTTTCATGAAGAATTGGATTTGAAATAAAGCACGTACCACCCGTTAACATCATGTCAAAGAGGAAACAAAGCTAACTCTCTTTAAATACAAACATTCTTTAAACCGAGATTTTAAGTTGTGTTTAGCTAAGTTTTGAGGATATAGAGCACAGAAAGACTAATAATCTATAATAGAATTTTTGTAGCATTAAAATCATGAAGATGAATCAAACCCAGAAAGAAGGAAACAAAGGAAAAAAATTGAAATAACTCATCTCTTAGACTCAATTTTTAAATATTCGTCCTTTCAATTTTGGGGGTTTTTTGTTTTGTTTTGTTTTTAACATTCAAAGAATTGCTGACCTTTTCCATGTGTATATTCTTTCAGTCCACAATTGCTGAATGAAAACAAAAGAAAGTTACAGGGAAATGCTGCAAAATCAAGTAAAATTAGCCAAATGAAAGCCTAAAGACAATGTTAGGATTTAGAAATGTTTTCATCAATATCCACAACCATATTTTTTAACTTTAAGTTGCTAAAACAAGGTGGGCAAGTTTTCCACAAAGTATTCAACTATTTGTTTTCAGCTCTGTGAAGTAAAACCAGTGTCTATATTTGTTCCCCTGCTACCAGAGAAGACAGCATTATACAGGGAACCTTAACATGCAATTCTTTGTAATGTATTAGAAATGCTATCAGAGAAGAGTTTTCTCCCCCAGAATCTGTATGACCTTCTCCCTCAGAATCCTGGACACAACGTCTACAGTCAGAGGCCCTTCCAGATCTTCGAAGAGAATCTCTTCTTGGTTAAATCAGCCCCAAAGTCGCACTGAAGAGTGTCCTGTGAAGCCTGTAGCCCACAAAGAAAATACCTTCTGGGGAACAAATTGTTGAAAACACACTTCCCCCTAGAGGCAGAAAAGATGAAAGAATATTACACATAATTCAGGAGCATTTCTGTAATTCAAGGAGTGTTGAGATTTTATTTTTAACATATAGTGGATGTTTTAAAGGGAACCATTCAAGACATGGGAGGGAAATCAATGAACGCCAAAAAATTACATTAAAACTTTGACTCTACATTTTAGCTTTCCTTAGCAGGGACTCTGTTAATTGACCCCTTTTCTTCTATTATACAAATCTGTGGGGTTTTTGAACAGCCACTAAATAATAGCCACTAAATAACAGCCACTAAATAATTATGATTCTTTTTTCTATTTAAATTTATGATTCAATTTCATCAGAAACTGCAGTTAATTGTGGCTTCGAGGGATTCTTTTGAAAACAGCTCTAACAGATTTATCTCCTTATGGTCAGATTTGTTTCTGTATTACTGTCCCCTTAGGTTTCCATCAACTACTGCCTTTTTTCATTTCTTTGGAGATGTTCTGAAACAAAATAACATTTAAAAAGACTTTCAGAAAATATAGAGCTGGTCTGTGATTTAACTTGAGTACTGGCATGAGTTTTCTAGGATTTGCAAGCCACTTGAAGAATTCTCATGTTGTTGATTCTTAGACAAGTTATTTAGTGTAGATTATTACATTCACAAAAGTGGATGTGCCTCAACTTCATGCACACCCATATGGATTACATTTAATTGGTTTATTTAGTTGTACACTGCATTGTTCCAGAAAGTGTTTGAGAATGCATATTTTTTAAAAAATAGAATTTTAGAAATTTTCCTCAAGGCAAAATGCACAGCCATTGGGTCCTAATCTCTTGGATCTTCCTTTGTTCCTTAGGCCTTTACTAATGGCCCCAAGCCTCAGCAACATTTTCCTCTCCCACCTGAGTTTCCACGGAGCTCCTGATCACACTCGATTTTCTTTCCAGGGAGATAGTCTGGGTTGAGCTCTAGTCTTTGGGCGCTATCCTGTGGAAGCAGCACACATTCAGAAGCCTCACAAACATCACCTAACCCATCTGACCTTTAGTTTCCTCACTTTCCTCCCTTCTAACATGGAGATAAATGATATGTCCTGTCATTGCAGAAGAAAGGATTAGAAACAACAGATGCAAAGTGCTTTGTATGCGGTAGAGTATTAATAAACAGCAGCTCTTGGTATTATATTCCCTTCAAAGTCTGGTAAAGAGTATCATACCACGTAAGTGTTTAATACATTCTTATAGAAGGAAAGAATGAATTCAAAACACAAAATTATATGGCTTATGTGTAATTTGTTTGGAATTATCTACTGCTTGATCACAACAGACCTTATTTAATAATGTTGGCTTGGGGACAGTGGCTTCCTTGGGGGAACCCTTTTGGCAATCGCCTTGATGTTGGCCCTGGGTTTCTAGCCTCAGATATTTCCTGGTAAGCTTGAGACAAGAGCTTGTTCAATATTCCTTTTTCTACACAGTGTGGCAAAGAGAGCAGGAGCTCATGTTTGCCGCTCCAGTGCTGCCCTCAACAGCTGTAAGGCTCCTCCAGAAACTCAGGCTGCCTCTAGCCTTAGAGAACTAAAGCAAGCAAGGGGAGGCAGAAATACATCAGAAAGTGATTTTTTTTAGAAGGGAAAAGATAGAAGTGGCTGTGCAAAGGGGCAGGACTTTGAGGATAAAGGGATGGAATACGCAGATTGTATGGAAGCAAAAGAGGATTATACTGCAAGGAATATATTTAATATCTAGATCAGGACTATTATAAATAATGAGAAAAGAATAAAATGTATCCCGGTGTACTAAATATCCAAGCTATAAAAATGTCAGGCCCAGGGCTTAATCCTCTTTCTTGTTCAATTCAACCTTTTAAATGTCCACAGCATATCAAGGACTATGATGTTCTAGCTTAAAGCTATTGTACTAGACATTCATTTGTTTTGTTTGGAGATATGATTTGACCCAAGTTATGATTAAATCTGTGTGATGATCAATCATGTTATAACAGCCAAATGAGCCCTATTTAAGAGAAACGGTATCAGGACAAAAACATATCCAGTTTCAAAAACATCTTATAAAAATTATTTTCCTGGCATTGTTACATCATTATTAAATAGTATGTGCTCTAAATTAACCAGCATTAATCCATTAGAATATAAATTCCATGAAGGCTGGGATTTTTTTTCCTTAATCTGCATTCCTTCAAGACTGATACATGTAGTAGGCACTTAAAATTTTATTCCACCAATGATAAATTTAAAGACTGCAAAGATTGCTATAAAACAGAATTTAGACAAGAAATAATGAAGCAATAAAAGGGAAAAAAGTGATAATCCAAAAAGAAATTAACACATATATGTAAATTTATCTAAAATAATTTTCAGAATATTCAGATATTATCATGTTGGATTTCTGATTATGCAAACAATATTATAAGCAAAAGATCCCAAATGCCAACTTTGAGGTCTTAACACATTGATATACTAGCACCACATCAGTTATACGTAATTCTTGATTATTTCCTTAATAATAGGAAAAATGTCATACTAAAAAAAAAAAAATCAGTATTTATCTTTTGTAATGCTATGAACAGAAATTAAAGATGATAAGGAAAATTTTTGTTACCAACACGTACAATGTTCTGAGATATATTTTTTAATTTCTTTCCAGCAAGTACATTCCAGTACGTATTAAATCTTGGATAGCTGATGCATGAGACTAAAATAGAATAGAATGCCATGAGGAAAACATCAGGAAAATTCTTGACATTTGCCCTCTCAT